GGTTTTTGGGTTCAGGGTTTGGGGTTTAGGGTTTTCGGTTGTTGGGGGTTCTTGGGTTCAGGGTTTAGGGTTTTCGGCCTGGGGGGTTTTAGGTTCAGGGTGTAGGGTTTAGGGTTTTCGCGTTCAGGGTTTATAGGTTTTAGATGGTTTTAAGCATGTGTTGGGAAGAGGGTTTTGGGTGTAGGTGTGGTATAGAACCCCTCGTTTGGCTTAACGGACCTGGATACTCCGAACCCTACTCGCCCTACTCTTTCCTACTATAATTCTTATCACACGAAACAGATTCTTGATCAACCCTAAATGATGAATGGGACGAAATGACAGAACCTCATAAACCTTAAACCCAAAGCCTGAGAAACAAAAAAGGTATCCGGGAATTGCCTCGGGCATGGACGTCGTGTGGCTTCAGCCGTGGGGCCAAGAGGCCTACCTTGAGGCCGGGCAGTTTCGGTTTTTGGAATTTAGCTGAGCCCTAGACCAAAAAATCCTAAACCCTATAGGGTTTAGGGTTTAGGGGGTTTATAAACCGTAAACCCTAAACCAAACTCTGAACTCCTAGACCTTAAACCGCAAGCCTAACGGTCAAGTGACAGGGAAGCGGAGCCAGAAGTCTCGGAGGGCTTGCAGAGTGTACTGCTGTGCTCTGAACGGTTCAAGACTTCTGTATTCCTTTCAATGATCTGCTAAGCGGTTAAGGTTTAGGGTTTAGGGTAAGAGCTGGGCTTGAAAACACCACGCCCGAAGCATCCAAAATCCTAAATCCAAACATGCCATGAACTGGAAATCCCAAATCAGCAAACTAACCAATGTTTCCAGTGGTGCCACACTGCAGCTGTAGCAGCTGCAGCTAGACATTGACCGCACACCACCACAATCGCAGTTCAAAGTGTTCAGAACGATCATATCATCAAGCTGCTGCTGCTGCTGCTGCTCCTCCTCCTCCTCCTCCTCCTCCGCGCCCTTCTCCTACTCGGGCCCCCACTCTACTCCTACTCCCACTCCCACTCCTCCTCCAGCTGATTCAACGAGAACTACTACTACTACTACTACTACTACTGCTACTGCTACTGCTACTACTACTACTTACTAC